GAACTTACACTGTCAGAACCAGTGCAGGCTCATGCCCCAGGCAGGTGTGAATCCATGCAACTACAGGGAAGCCACTTTGGCACAGGTAATGATATTGAGGAACTTAGCCTGAATTACCTCCTGACAGGAACTAGAGAAAGTCTTGCCTGCTTGAACTTAGAAGTGTATAGGACCGTTCTCTGCAATGTTGTAGTATGGGAAACTTGAAAATACTAACTATCTCCAAACAGGACAATATCCTGATAATTCCAGGAGATAGAGGAACACACTGGGGGACACTGTGGGAAAGCAGCCAGACAAGTTCAGAGCATCTGCTGGATGTTTGGCTTCATTTGTTCTACAAACAGGGGCCATTAAAACAACAACTGGGGGCTGGGGTTGTGGCTCAGTGGTAGAGCACTTGCTCTGCATGTGTGAGGCACTGGGTTTGATCCTCAGCACCACATAAAAATGAATGAATGGAATAAAGGTATTGTATCCAACTAAAAAAAATTAATAAGAATAAATAATAAATAAATAAAGATATTGTACCAACCGCAACTAAAAAAATAAATAACACCAACAACTGTCCTAGAATAAAAGAAATGTAAGAGGGAAGAAAGTATAGCCAGGGTAGAGCTCATGCCTACCAGGCTCAAGGCCCTGGGTTCAATCCCCAGCACCAATACCACCCACCACCACCACCACCACCACAACACAGATATGGATTGAAGGGATACGAAAGCAGCTGCAGCCTCCAGGTGTGTTGGCACAGTGGTATAGTGAGGAGTGGGCTGGGATGTGGGGCCTGCTTGTCCCCGCCTGGCCCTAGCTGCAGCAGGTACTGCAGTGCTCCCACCTGGAGACCCAAGTCCTCCACGGGCCTGTCATTCCCTCAGTAGTCTACTCTTTTCTTTTTTTGTAGTACTGGAAATTGAACCCAGGACCTCATGCGTAGGCAAGAGCTCTACCCTGAGCTACATCCTCAGCCTCTTTTTTTGGGGAGACGGGGTTTACCGGGGACTGAACTCAGGGGCACTCATCTACTGAGTCACATCCCTAGCACTTTTTAAAATTTTATTTAGAAACAGGATCTCTCTTTGTTGCTTGGCTCCTTGTAGTTGCTGAGGCTGACTTTGAACTTACAATCCTCTTGCCTCAGCCTCCCAAGCCACTGGGATCATAGGCGTGCATCACTGCACCAAATGTGAGTGCTCTCTTTTTGTCTCTCTCTGACAGGGTCGCTCTAAATTGCCCACTTGGCCTCAAATTTATCATCCTCCTGCTTCAGCCCCCAAGTTGCGGGGAATACAGGTGTGCGCCACTGCACCTGCCTTAGTATTCTGCTCTTCATTTCCCTAGTTCTTTATTTGAGCTCTACATAGTCTTGATTTTTACTTTGGCCACTTTCTATTTTATGAACTTCAAAGTATACCAAAGGAGGTGAGCACAGTGGTGCACTCCTGTAATCCCAGAGGCTCAGGAGGCTGAGACAAAACTAGCCTCAGCAATGGTGAAGCGCTAAGCAACTCAGTGAGACCCTTCTCTAAATAAAATATAAAATAGGGCTGGGGATGTGGCCTAGTGGTCTAGTGCCCCTGAATTCAATCCCCAGTACAAAAACAAACAAACAAAAAAAAGGGCTGGGGATGGGGTTCTGTGGTAGACAGCCCCTAGGTTCAATCCTACTACCAAAAAAATAGAAAATGTATTTTTTAAGGATATTTATTTTTTAGTTGTAGTTGGACACAATACCTTTATTTTATTTATTTATATGTGGTGCTGAGGATCAAACCCAGTTCGCAAGCGCTCTACCACTGAGGCACAACCCCAGCCCCAGAAAATATATTCTCGAGTGTTACCTACCAGGGGCTAAGGATTCAAAATCCCCAGCTCAGAGGAGGACAGCATGGAATGCAATGGACACCTCCACACGGGCCCGTCTGCCTGCTGTGGGAGAACAGAGGGGCAGCTCCTAACCAAGGTCCAGTGGTGGAGGTTTCCTGGAAAAAGTGCGGTACCCCTTAAGTAAGAAAGAGGCTAGCCCGGCGCGGTGGTGCTGCCTGTAATCCCAGCAGCTCGGGAGGCTGAGGCAGGAGGATCATAAATCCAAAGCCAGCTTCAGCAACTCAGCGAGGCCCTGTCTTAAAATATTTTTTAAAATATTTTGTTTTAGTTGTAGATGGACACGATACCTTTATTTATTTATTTATTTATTTACTTTTGGTGCTGGGGATGGAACCCAGGGCCTCATGCATGCAAGGCAAGCCTCTACCACTGAGCCACAGCCCTAAATATTTTTTTTAAAGGGGATGTGGCTCAGTGGTTAAGCTCCCTGGGTTCAACCCCTGGTACCCCCAAAAGAAAGAAAGAAAGGCAGAGACTGGGGTGAAGGGAGCATTTCCAGCAGGAGGAAGTACTGTGAGAGGGGGAGAGGAGGAGAGGAGCCTTGGTGGCTGCAGCTGTGGGCCAGAGGACTTGACTGGGAGCCCTGAAGTGGAGGGGAGGGGGCGCCCTGGGGCCAAGTAAAGGGCTTGCAGGGGCTGGAGCATCAGGGTTCCCTGAGCTGACGTTCCTACCAAGGCCTCTCTGGCCCCTGTGGAGCGCTGAACCTTGCTATGGCTCTGGAACCCAGCCGGGGTGGCACAGGGCAGGCAGGGCTCTGTCCACTGCTGCAGAGCAGGTCAGACAGCAGAACAGCGGGGCTGGGGGACTGCGGCCCTGGGCGGGCATGCAGGTGCCTCCCTGGGGTATGTGCTGTGGATGGGGACTGGCACACAGGTTGCCATGGAGATCTCTGTGACATCACACAGGCCTGGCTGTAGGACACCTGCCTCCCTTCTTGACTCATGGGTGATCACTCTGGGAACAAAATGGACATCCCATCCAGAAGGTAAGTCTGTAGTGACCCTCCCGTGCCCTTCCCAATAGGGCCCTTGAAACTTGGCCTCAGCTGCTTGAAGTAAGCATCCCCCTCTCCCTGAGCCAAACTGAGAGGCCCTATTTAGGGAATCCCACTACAGGGACCAAGTCTTTGCTACCCAAGGCTGAACTTGGGCTATTTTTCTGGGAAAAGAGAAAGTGTGTCCCAGCCTGGGCTCTTGACAGATGGTGAGAAGGTGTGAAGCGGGTTGTCTGCTGGAGCTCCTGGCGGGAGGGGCAGGCCTGGGGAGAGGGTGTCCTCCAGGGCGAGAAGAGGCAGCCAGGCAGGAAGGCTACATGGAGCTCCCTGTCCTGCGGGAGTGAGGATGGGACCCATGGGTGGGGGTACCCGTCTCCCTGGCAATGAAGATGCCACCTCACAGATGCAGGCCCGCAGCTGGGAAGGCCTGGTGTGAGGTGGGGGCGATGGGGGGGCTCCCTCCGCTTCCCAGGCATGGAGAGCGAGGGTGTGGGAAGGGGCAGGGGCCCCAGGGCGGTCATATCTTTTGCCCTAGCAGCAAGCGGCCCCAGTGGGAGGCTGGACACATGCCTCCCCTCCCCTTTAAGTTCACAGAAAAGTTCTAGGACAGATGGGAATTAACCTGGGGCATTAATTAGCATCTCCATGAAAAGCTACACAGAAGTTTTTCAAAATAAAATATAATTTTCACCTGAAGTAGTTTCCTCTTGAGTCGCCGGGATTACAGGTGTGCCACCATGCCTAGGTTCCCCCCAGCCCCACTGGGAATTCAACCAATTCCATAGCTCTTTTATTTTTTATTTTGAGACAAGGTCTCACTAAGTTGCTGAGGCTGGCCTCAAACTTGGGATCCCCTGCGTCAGCCTCCCTAGTCACTGGGATTACAGGAGCGTGCCACCATGCCCAGTTAGGACTGGTGGTATTCTTGTAAAAACAACAACAAAAAAATTTTTTTAAAAATTTAGGGGCTGGGGATGTGGCTCAAGCGGTAGCGCGCTCGCCTAGCATGCGTGCCGCCCGGGTTCGATCCTCAGCACCACATACCAACAAAGATGTTGTGTCCGCCGAGAACTAAGAAAAAATAAATAAATGTTAAAATTCTCTAAAAAAAAATAAAAATAAAAATAAAAATTTAAAACAACAAAACATAAAAAAAGAACAAGAATAAAGACTGATCTTAGTTTTGAATGTGGGTGGAGAAAATTCTGCAACCAGAGACACAGCAGACCATTTCAATCCTGCTTATGAATGAACACGCCCAACTCCCTCTGCACTTGAATCAAGTTAGTCCTCCTAAGAAACTGTTGTGGAGAAGGAGTTTAAGAAATCTTCTTTTTTTCCCCTTAGATGAATACAACACCTTTGTTTTCTTTATTTTGCATGGTGCTGAGGATCAAACCCTAGAGTGCTAGGCTCTACCACTGAGCCACAGCCCCAGCTCAAATTTAAGAAATCTTTCAGAGCACATTTTATTGCAAGGAAAAAAATGTCTGCCTTGAACTAGAACTGTGGATGAACTGTTGAACATGTCAAGTGAGAACAGCTGAGCTACCTCCCCAAGTGAGCAGCACTTTCCCTTGTATTTATTTTTCGGATCAGATGCAGTAGTCAGCAGACAGGGCCTGCTGGACCTCCCTCTTAACGTTCAAAAGGCGGAGAGGGAGCTGGCTCAGATAAGAAGCCACAGCAGTTACCAGCCCTGTGCTTTCCTCCTGCCCTAGGGCACTGGCCAAACACCAAACTTCTCTTTTTTTTCAGTGCTGGGCATTTCACCCAGGGCCGCCTCCATGCTAGGTAAGCATTCTACCACAGAGCTACACCTGCAGCCCATTTTACAATGACAAACGCATTAATTGTGCGCATTGATGGGTTTCAGCATAATGTTTCCCCCATGCCATGCAGCATGCTCTGACCCAGGCCACACACCTTTCCCATCCCCACTTCCCCCAAGTAGCAGAGGGGAGAATATGCATACTTGGGTCTGACATTTGAGTTAACACAATGTCCTTTAGCTTTTGCTGCAAATGACAGAGCATATGATTAATGCTCCTTTGTGTATATATACTACATCTTCTTCTTTTCCCCAGGGTTGGGCATGGAACCCAGGGCCTCCAGCATGCTAGGCGAATGCTCCACCACTGAGCCACACCACCAGCTCTTATGCCACATTTTTTAAAAATCCATTTATCTGTCCAAGGGGACCTAGGCGGATTCTGTATCTTTGCTACTGTGAATAGTGCCACAATAAACTTGGGTGAGTAGGTATATCTTTGGTATGCTGACTTCATTTCCTTTGGATATGAGCCCAGGAATTGGATAGCTGGCTCATATGGCAGATCAATTTTTAGGTTATTTGAGCAACCCCTATACTTCTCTCTGCAATAGCTGTACGAATTTGCATTCCCTCCAGCAGTATATGATTTACTTTTTAGCCGGATGTGATGGTGTACACCTGTAATCCCAGCTATTTGGAAGCTGAGGCAGGTGGATCAAATTTTGAAGCCAGTTGGGTAACATAGGAAACCCTTGCCTTGAAAATAAAATTTAAAAAGGATTAGGGGTGCCAGGAGCAGTGGTGCACATCTGTAATCCCATTGGCTTGGGAGGCTGAGGCAGGAGGATCACAAGTTCAAAGACAGCCTCAGCAACTTTGCAAGGCTCTGAGCAACTTAGCAATAAACCTGTCTCAAGAAAGTAAAATATACAAGAATGGCTAGAGATGTGGCTTAGTGGTTAAGAACCCCTGGTTCAATCCCCAGTACTTATAAAAAAATTCCCTTTTCTTTCATATCATATTTTGATAACAGTCATTCTAACTGCCATGAGATGCTGTAGTGTAAGTTGTTCTTTGCAGTTCCCTGTTAATTAATTATATTGAGCATTTTTTTCTTATATTATTGGCCATTTATATTCTTTTGTGAAGTGTCTGTTCAGGTCATTGACTTTTCTTTTTTATTAAATAATTAAAAAAAATATTTTAGGGCTAGGGACAGAGCTCAGTTGGTAGAGTGCTTGCCTCATGCACAAGGTCCTGGGTTCAATCCCCAGCACCACACACAAAAAATAAATCAAGGAATAAATAAAAATTCTCTGTTGTAGATGGACGTAATATCTTTATTTACTTTTTTTCTTAGTATTGGGAATTGAACCCAGAAATGCTTAACCACTGAGCCACATCCCCAGCCCTTTTATGTTTTATTTAGAAACAGGGTCTCAGTGAGTTTCTGAGGCTGGCTTTGAGCTTGTGATCCTCCTGCCTCAGCCTCCTGAGTTGCTGGGATTAGATGCATGAGTGCCTGTGTCCAGCTGTTTTTCTCATTTATTTTTATGTGGTGCTGACGATGGAGCCCAGGGCCTCACTCATGCTCTACCAGAGCCCCAGCCCCAGCCCTTTTCACTTTTTATTTTCAGACAGGGTCTCACTAAGTTGCCCGGACTGCCTGGAGCATCTCGGGCTTCTGCCTCAGGCTTCTGAGCCACTGGGATGCCAGGCGTAGCCACCAGAGGCTCCAGGCTGTCCCTGCACTTGGTGTAGACACTTCTTAGCTTGATGTCATCCCACTTGTCAATTCTGGCTTTTGTGGCCAGTCTGTTTTTTGTGGCCTTTTCTGGTCCTATCCAGAAAATGATGACCCATGTTAGTATCTTGAGGAGTTTCCTTTATGTAGCTTCTGCGTTTCAGGCCTTAATGTTTGGGTCTTTGGTCTACTTTGAGAGGATGTTTGTATGGGGGTGAGAGTCCAGGGCCAGGCTCGGGTCGTCTTGTGGGGATCTCCCAGTTCCCAGCAGCCATTATGCAAAAGGCCGTCCTCCCCAGTGTAGTGTGGCAGGCACCTTTGTAGGAGTCCTTTGGATGGAGGTGCGGGTTTATTTCTGGATCTTCATTCTGTTCGGTGCCCTGGGGTCCACTGTTATGTCAACCCCCTGCTGTTTGGGTGGTTACGGCTCTGCAGGAGGTCTTGAGATCAGGTGCTGTGAGGCCTCCATCTTGATCAATCTTTTTGCTCAAGATTGATTTGGCTACTTGGGGTCTTTTGTGCTTCTGCATGAATTTTAGAATTGCTTTTTCTAGTTGTGTAAAGATTGTCATTGGGCTGGACTTAATGGCTTATGCCTGAAATCCCAGCCACTCCGAAGACAGAGGCAGGAGTATTATAAATTCAAGGCCTGCCTGGGCAATTTAGGGAGACCCTGTCTCAAAATAAAAAATAAAAAAGGCTGGGGATGTAGCTCAGTGGTTAAGTGCCCCTGGGTTCAATGCCTGGGAATAAGGAGGAGGAGAAGGAGGAGAAAGAGAAGGAGGTTGTCATTGGTATTTTTTAAAAGTATTTTTCAGTTTAGTCAATGGATTATTTATTAACTTATATGCAGTGCTGAGGATGGGACCCAGGCAAGTGCTCCACTACTGAGCCACAACTTCCCTGTCATTTGCATTTTAATGGGAACTGTGTTGAATCTGTAGGTTGCTCTGAGTAGCATGGACTTTAACAATATTTACTCTTCCAACCCATGAACATGGAGATCTCCGTCTTTAGTGCCTTCTTCACTTCCTTTGTTGTGATGCTGGGGCTCAAACCCAGTGCAGGTGAGTGCTCCATCCCTGAGCTAGGTCCCCAGCCCCATCCCCAGCCCTCTTTTTATTTATTGGTACCAGGGATTAAACTCAGGGGCACCGACCACTAAGCCACATCCCCAGCCCTTTTTTGTATTTTATTTGGAGACAGGGTCTCACCGAGTTGCTGAATGCTTCGATTTGTGCTAAGGGTGGCTTTGAACTTGCGATTCTCCTGTCTCAGCTTCCCAAGCTGCTGGTCACAGGTGTGACCCACCACACCTGGCTCTCTTTTTTATTTTATTTTGAGACAAGGCATACTAAGTTTCTGAAGCTGTCTTCGAACTTGCACTCCTCCTGCCTCAGCCTCCTGAGTGGCCGGGATTACAGGTGTGGCCACTGTGCCTAGCTTTTCAGTGTTCTTCACAGTGTTTTGTGATTTTCATCATAGTGATCTTGATCTTTCACTTCCTTGGTGAAGATTGTTTCTAGGTTTTTGTTTTGTTTTGTTTTTGTTTTGGTAGCTATTGTGAATGGAATTGCTTTCATGAGTTCTTTCTCTGCAAATTTGATATTGGTGTATAGAAAGGCAGCTGAGTTTCATATTGATTTTGTGTCACTTGCTACTTTACTAAATTTGTCATTATTTCTGATTGTCCTTCAGGTGGAGTCTTTAGGTTTTTCTGTATCCAGAATCAGATAATCTGAATACAGGGATAATTTGACTTGCTTCCTACTGGTATGTTTTTTCTTTCTTTTTCCTCATTACTCTATGTAAAATTCCTAGATCCAGGTTGGACAAGAGCAGGGTGGTGGACACTCTTGTCTTGTTCTATGTCTTACAGGAACTGCTTTTAGCTTTTCCCACGCGGTGTGGTGGTGGCTCTGGGTCTGTGATATGTGGCCTTTATTATGTGGAGGTGAAATCCTACTGTTTCTGGTTTGTTAAAGATTTTGTCATGAAGGGATGCTGAATTTCATCAAATGCTTTTTCTGCACCTGTTGCCAAGTGAGATTTTATTTATTTTTGATACTAGGGATTGAACCCAGGGGCGCTTAACCGCTAAGCCTCATCCCCAGTCCTTTTTGTATTTCATTTAGACACAGGGTCTTGCCAAATTGCTTAGGGCCTGGCTAAGTTGCTGAGGCTAGTTTTGAACTTGAGATATCTTCCTGCCTCAGCCTCAGGAGCCACTGGGATTACAGGCGCGACCCACCCAGGGCAAGTGAGAACTTTTAAAACCTGTTTTCTTGAGGCGGAAATGCAGCAAGGAGTTAGTTCAGCACTGGTCTGAACCAGACAGCCTAGAGGTCAACCCGAGGTCGACCCACAGTTCACCTCAGGAGTCAATGTAGAGGTAACCTGTTCTGAGTCCTGAAGCCCCCACGTGCCACCTCCCAGGGTCTGGGATCCTGGGGGGCATGGGGAAAAGGCAGTCCATGAGCCTTTTCTCTTCCTGTAGGTCTCGAGAGTAGGTTGGCTAAGCCTCTCTGTCAGAGAACCATTTCGCACCTGCCTGGGCCCCTTTCCTGGCCACTGCTCTCTCCCTACCATCTCAGAAGGCTCCTTGCCCTTCACTCACCTCCCCTGGGTCACTCCAGGACCCTGGGCAGGAGCTCAGAAGGCTCTGGGCTGGAGGCCAGCTTACCCTCCAGGTGCTTCTTCCCGGGCAGCCACAGCCACTGTGGATCAGGTGACCAGATCTAAAGGTTGCCCTGCTCTGTTCATGGAGGTGGCTGCCCATCCCTGGGGCTGTGGACTCCTAGGAGACAGTCCCAGCTACCCCCCCCTCCCTCTGCTCCCCTTGTTGACAGATGTCTTAATTTTTTAGAAAAGGGTTATTATTTTATGAGCTATTATCCAGTGTTCTACTTAGGCATTAAAACACTTTATTAAGGAGCTGCGGCTCGGGGGTAGAGTGCTTGCTGGCATGTGCAAGGCCCTGGATTTGGTCCTCAGCACCATATGAAAATAAATAAATAAAAACAAAGGTATTGTGTCCATCTGCAACTAAAAAATAAATATTAAAATATTTTTTAAAAAGCTTCTTTAGGAGGGCTGGGGATGTAGCTCAGCTGGCAGAGTTCTTATCTTGCATGCACAAGGCCCTGGGTTCAGTCCTCAGCACCACCAAAAAAAAAAAGCTGCTTTAGGAAATCCTGCCAAGTATTTGACTTGCTGCCAATGTCAGCTTCCACAATGCCCTTTTAAAGAAATGTTTTTATAAGTTGTTGATGGATCTTTATTTATTTATGTGTGGTGCTGAGGATGGAACCCAGGGCCTCACACATGCTAGGCAAGCACCCTACCATTGAGCCACAGCCCAGCCCCCCAACAATGACTTTTGCTCTGTGAGTGTGGGATCCGCAGCAAAGACTCCATCTTGTGTCCCATTCATGTTCTCTCCTCCTGTTTAAAAGCCACAGCCATGTGATGCTGGGAACTTCTAGGGACCAGGAAGGGATGGACGGGTAAGGGCAGAAGCCAGGACTAGCCCTCAGGGTTGGTTTGCTACTCTTAATGTTTCCCTTTCAAAACCTGAGGCTGGGCTGGAATGTGCCCAGTGGGGCAGCACTTGCCTGGCACATCCAAGGCCTTGGATTGATCCCTAGCACTGGAAAAAAATAAATGAATCCAGGTGTTGCTGGGTGCAGTGGCACACCCTCAGGAGGCTGAGGCAAGAGGACTGTGTTCAAAGCCA